TTCCCTGGGGAGCCTGGGCAGTGCCAGCACCCTCTGGGGACAGAAGAACCTTTCCCTGAGATCCATCCCAAGCCCTGACACAGCTCCAGCCGTTCCCTGGGCTCCTGGCCCTGTCCCAGAGCAGAGCTCAGCCCCTGCCGCCTCCCCTCGGGAGGAGCTGCAGCCCCCGAGGAGTCTCCCCTCTCTCTCTGCTGCAGCACAAGCCAAATCCCTGCTGTTGAGATCCCAGGCTGCTGTAGTTGYGTTGTKCCMTGTGCYCTGTGCTGTCCCAGCTCTGAACMCTGTGGGTTCCTGTTGCAGCTGACRTGGACGGCGTTGGCGGCCGGACGCTACGTCATGCTGAGCGATGCGCTGACCAGTCAGGAGCAGGTGGTCAGTTATCTGCCCCTCAGCCACATCGCTGCCCAGATGTCTGACATTTGGTCAGCCATGACCTTCGGAGTGCAAATTTACTTTGCCCAACCAGATGCATTGAAGGTAAAAAAATATGATAATAAACTTACACCCATCCACCTGCTTGAGCTGGGGTGGGTGCTTGAAACGAAGCTGTGTTATCTTGTGGTTCTGTCAGCTATCTGGTTTCCTTTGCCCACTGACCAACTGCCCCTGTTGGTTTGAGTGGAGCCACTCTGACCTGCACCTTTTGACTTTATTCCAAACTGRGAGAAGCTGACCCAGCACTTCACATCTGGGAGCTGCTGAGTTCTCACCTGACGCCTGGTCCCACACTGAGAGCTGGTTGAGCAAACAGCGTTTGCTCTGCCCACATTGCACAATGAGCTAAATCCGAGTCCTGAGTAAAGGATTCTTGTGTCAGCATTAGCACTGAGAGCATCGACCCTTGCTCCCTTCCCAATTCCCACTGGAATGGCCCAGGGGTTCCTCTCTCTTGGTGGCACTGCAAAAAACAAGCAATTCCTCAAAACTGATGGCAGAATCCCAAAATCCACTAGCACTTTTTTGCTAGTGACCGATGTTGACCTGCAGTCTGCAGTGATTCACTTCTCAAAAACTGCATTAAATCCTGCTTCTCTCAGGGCAGCTTGGTGGAGACCCTGCGGGAAGTGAGGCCAACTGCCTTTTTGGGAGTTCCTCGTGTCTGGGAAAAAATGGAGGAGAAAATGAAATCTGTGGGCATGAAATCCTCAGCGTTCCGAAGGAGAGTGGCATCGTGGGCCAAGGGAGTGGGGCTGCAGACCAACCTCAAAAGGATGAATGGGTAATTATGAGCTACATTTCAGGGGCACTRATGAGTGTTAGGAGAACTTTGCTGTCAGATCAGGGTTTTTATTCCATCCAGGGATTATATTCCATCCAGGATTTTATCCCATGTGAGAGGCCAGTGGTACTCGGACCTGAGGGTGAGCAGCAAGGGCTGGAGCGGGGAAATAATCAATGATTTTATTGAATAAACTAAACTAGGATGAAGATAAAATGAGGAAGGGGCAGGAGTTCCATGTGTGCCCCTTTTCCTCCATGTGTGCAGGTACTCCGAGGTGCCCGTGAATTTCCGCCTGGCCAAGCAGTTGGTGTACAAGAGGGTGCGCAAGGCCATCGGGCTGGACCGCTGCACCAAGTGCTACACGGGGGCTGCTCCCATCACCAGAGACACCCTGGAATACTTTCTGAGCCTGAACATTCCCGTGCTGGAGCTGTATGGGATGAGTGAGAGCTCTGGGCCTCACACCGTATCCCTACCTCATGCCTTCAAGCTCGGCAGGTGAGCCCCTTGCTGTGGGAGCAGAGGGAATGGTGGGGTCTGTGTCTGGCACATCCATCCCTCCTGGTGCAGCTCATCCTCAGAGCTGCCAAAATGTCACTGGGGAGCCACATTATGGGTGAAGAGATGTGTCAAGGGCAGCAGCAGCAGCAGGGATATRTGAATTTACCTTGGCTGCATTCTGTAGGAGCTGAGGAAGAAGTGAGGTGCTGGTGGGAAGAAGGAAGGGTTGGTAACTCCAGCTTGGCTGGTAACTCCGTTTAATGGCAAATGATCCAAGGGTGCAGGGTGTCTTTAAATGGCTCCCTCAGTCTGCACAGTGAAAGTTTGTTGCCAAGGACGTAAATGTGCTGGCTGAAAGCTCAGGTGTTGAGAACAATGAGTGCAAAGCAGCAGGTGTGTGAGCACTGATGTCTGCAATAACAGCTCCTTCTGTAGCTGCCCATACATGAGCAGGTGCCTTTGAAGCTGAAGCTGTTGTGCTAAAAAGCTGCTGGGCTTTGTTCAAACCCTTCACCTTGAGAGGTGCTGCTGTAACCCCTGCTTGAATTCAGTTTAAAATAAATTAATCCTTGGTCTGTGCTGTCTTTCAGCTGTGGGAAGGAGCTGACGGGCTGCCACACCCTGATCCACAAACCAGACAGGGATGGCATCGGGGAGATCTGCTTCTCAGGRAGGCACGTCTTCATGGGCTACCTGAACATGGAAGAAAAAACCAAAGAGGCCATCGATGAGGATGGCTGGCTGCACTCAGGGGACCTGGGCAAGCACGACAAGGATGGGTTCCTCTTCATCACAGGCAGAATTAAAGGTAACACATCCCCTGATTTGGTTATCTTGATGTCATGCAGCACTATGGAATCAGAGAGTTGTTAATGTTGGGAAAGGCCTTATGGAGCCCAACTGTTCCCTCAGCACTGCCAAGGCCACCACTAACCCATGTCCCCAATTGCCACATCCCTTAAATCCCTCCAGGCCTGGTGACACCCCAGTGCCCTGGGCAACCTGTTCCAATGCTGAATATCCCATTTAAACCTCCCCCAGTGCAGGGGAGGCTCTGCTGGTGGCGTGGCTGTGACTTGCACAGAACATTTGAATCCTCCACCCGCAGTTTCCATGTGAATGTGGCTGCAGGGTGTCCTGCCCTGGGACACAGGCAGTGGTGGGAGGAGAGGGGCAGCCTCTGAAGCCCAGGGTGTGTTTGCAGAGCAAGGGAGAAGCCCTCTGATTTCAGCACCGGCCGAGTTAATGCTTTGTGGGCTGGTTTTGTCAGCAGCTGCTTCAGCTTCAGGAGCTTTGCTGGGYGACCTCCAAGGAAAACAGCAGCTTAACGCTGTTGTGCAAGTGCCTTGTGGCAATGTGGCTCTTGGGACAGCGATTTGAGCAACCCCAAACAAAGCCAATGTCACTGCAAGACTTGGGCCCTCAAAAAGGGAGAGGTGCTAATGTGAGGGGCTGCTCCAAGGAACAGGAGATAAATGAAAGGAGGRGACTCCCCTCTGCTCTGCAGCACATAGGAACCTCCAGCACAGCCCCAGCAAATCTTTCACTTCAATTTCAGAAAATTTGGGTGCCACCTCAGGTGCCTTAGAGCCCAGGAGTCCGTGCCAGGGTGCCACGGGGCTCACCCTGCATTCCCAGACTGCAAACGCCTCCAGGGCATTGAGGCAGCTTTGGCAGGGCTGTGTGTGAGCAGCTCCTGCTTCTCTGGCCAGGCCTGGGGGCAGTCATGGCATCAGCACTGAGGCTGGAAAAGCCCTGTAAAATCACAGAGTGCAGCCATTAACACAGCACTGCCAGGGCCACCACAAACCATGTCCCCAAGTGCCACAGCCACACATTTTTGAACACTTCCAGGGATGGTGACTCTGATTTTCCCAGTCCTGCCTTCTCCAGCTGTGCTGTTACAGACTGCTTGATCCAGAGACATGAAGGAGCTGTGGAGTTGTTTCAGCTTGTGGGAAGGGGAGAAGCTCCAAGCATTAATCAGGATTTGATTGTTTTCCAGAGCTCATCATCACTGCAGGAGGTGAGAACATTCCTCCTGTTCCAATCGAGGATGCTGTCAAAAATGCTGTTCCCATCATCAGCAACGCCATGCTGGTTGGAGACAAAGCCAAATTCCTTGCCATGCTTCTGACACTAAAGGTAGTGGAAAATAGGATGGGAATCCACCACCTGTGCTGCTGAGTCTGATTTATTCCAGGGAGGAAGAGAGTTGTTAAACATTTTTAGTGTCTTGTGCAGGAGCCTGGGGCACAATTTGCTGTGGCTGAGCTGCAAAGAGCAGCTGAAACCACAGAGAGTTGTCACTTGCTCAGACCATCAGCTCCTACTGTTGTTCAGGGCAGCTTTTTCTGAGCCACAGAGGGTAGGGAGAAATAGAAGGAAAAGACCTAAAATTGAGGCTGGAAAAGGAAACCCTTCTGCTCTCCTCACCTGTTTTAATTTCTCCCACAGTAGGCTGGAAAGTAAAAAGCTGTCAGGGATTTCTTTGTCAGGGTTTAAACTCCAGCAGGACACATCTGTGGTGGCTTTTGCTGACTGTCAGAGTGGGAATTGTTCTTTAGTGAGACTGGGGCCAACAGCCTCACCCTGGGGCAGGAGATGTGAGCCAGGTCCCAGAGGTGGCCCTGGAGGTGGCCCTGCTGTTCTTGTCACAGCTGAGTGCTGTGTGTGACTTCCAACACTGCTGCTGCACAGTGTAGGGGAGTGAACTGTGATCCAGAAAGGTCTGGAAAACGTGATTAACTTTGGATAGCGCAGGAGGAATTTGGCAGGTGAGCTCTGTACCCTCCCTGCTCCTTGGCATGGAGGCAGCCCCCAAGCAGGCACAGATCTCAGGGGTTTATCTGGGTTTTGTCCCAGGTTTCTGTTGGGGTTGGATGAGAGCTGAGGGGTTGATGGGTTTGGAGGAGCCCAGAACCATGCTGGGGCAGCAGCCAGGGCACAGGGGCTCAGGTGCTCAGCAATGCTCAGTTCTCTGTTCTGGCCTGTCCTGCAGTGTGTGGTGGATGTGGAAACGGGCGAGCCCGGGGATGAGCTCACTCCAGAGGCTCTGGAATACTGTCGGAAGCTGGGCAGCCAGGCCAGCACGGTCTCYGAAATCATCAGCAGCAAAGACCAGGCTGTCTATGCCGCCATCCAGAAAGGGATCTCGGCCGTCAATGAGGGAGCCGTGTCCAACGCYCAGAAAATCCAGAAATGGGTCCTGCTGGAGAAGGACTTCTCCCTGTTTGGGGGAGAGCTTGGTGAGTGGTGGGGGAGGTGTCTGGGCTTTGCCCAGTGCCCCTTGCCCAGCTATTGAACAGGGACACAACCAGGACCCCCAACACACAGAGCTGCCCTGGCCTTGCCTCGCTGTGGCTTTTCCGTGTCACAGTTTGGGGGTGGGGATGAATTGGGGTGAACTCCYCCTCCTGCCCAGCAGCACCGAGGGGAGCAGCGCTTACCCTTGTGCTGTGATGCCTCCTGCAGCCATGGAATGTTGGAAGGGACCCTCAGGGATCACCAATCCCACCCCTGGCCCTGCACAGACCCCCCAACAGCCCCACCCTGTTCATCCCTGGCAGCGCTGTCCAAACGCTCCTGCAGCTCTGGCAGCCTCGGGGCCGGGACCATTCCCTGGGGAGCCTGGGCAGTGCCAGCACCCTCTGGGGACAGRAGAACCTTTCCCTGAGATCCATCCCAAGCCCTGACACAGCTCCAGCCGTTCCCTGCACCCTCTGGTGCTGCTTCTGCTCCCAGGRAAGGGAGGGAGATTCTGTTAAACCTAAACAGAAGTTCAGGACTGGTCACTGTCCCCATGTTCTGCTTCACCYCAGGGCTGATTTGGGGTCCCTGTGGTTCCCTCCCCATTAACYCCATCCTGGTTCCCCACAGGCCCCACCATGAAGCTGAAGAGGCCGGAGGTGGTTCAGAAGTACCGGGACCAAATCGCTCGGTTTTACACGAACATCGAGACCCCCACGGGGGAGCCCTCGGCTCAGCCGTAGAGCCCCGGACTGAAAGCGTTCCCGAGGCCACTCCCAGCTGCCCAGGAAGGATTGCCTGGATCCTGTTGAAATAAAGAGGCTCAGCCACCAGGCAGCCCCTCGGCATCGCTTCGCTGTCCATGTCCTGGCCCTGCAGTGTGGTGAGCGTGGTCCTGCCCATGTTCTCCCATGTTTTGTGTCCCGTGCTGAGATCTGGCAAATATCGCAACTTTGTATTTTTTATTTCCATTTTTATAAGGGCAATACAATGTTTACCTGAAATCCACGTGACATGTTACGTTCTAACCAAAGTTTTCTTTTCCTGAGATGAATGTAAAACAGGAGCTGCAAATCAGGAGCTGCACTTTTCCTGCTGAGGGAGAAAGGCAGATTTCATTTTCCAGCAGCGTCCTCGCTCCCTGCTGCACGTTTCCCTGCATGCTGATGGAATCCATATCATTTTAAATCTCCTTCCCCAAAAACCATCCCTGTCTGAGATGACAAATGCTGTGTGACTACGCACAGCAGTGGAGGTGGAACCTCACATGAACTGGGTTTGTCTGTGCAATATTTTGAGTTTGTTTTACCTTTTTGAGTTATAATGAAGCCATAAATTGTATTGTTGAAGTTGTATCCATGGCTGGTGTTCTGGGAAGTGATTTACTCCAGGGATTATTTATAAGGCTGTGTACAATGTGTGAAATTTGTGTTTTACAATCCAGAAATGTTGTGGTGTCTGAAATGGGGAGCTCCAGAGCGGAGGGTGGGTGGGTTGGGGTGTGCTGTACCTGTGTTTGGGGTGAGCAGACGGTGCTGGAAGCCCAGGCTGGTTCTCCTGAAGGTCTGTGAGCAACCAGCCCAGGGCTGTGCAGGAATTTCCTGGCGAATTCATTGAGTGGGGATGCAGAATTCCCGTCCTGTAACGCTGCTGGGAGCACCCAGGAGCTCCTCGTGCTCTGCTCAGTGGTTCTATAGGGAGCACAGGAAGGTTTGCCTGCACAATTTCAAACCCAAAATCCTTACCTGAACACAGGCACAGCAGCCCCGCTCTCACTCCAAGCACCATTTCCCATGAACAGGAGGAGCACGGGGAGGAGGCTGCTGCAGCTCCGTGTTGGGCTCAGGGCAGGTTAAACCTCCAACTGTCCCTGCTGTGGCTCAGTGAAATTCCACTCACCCGTTGGAAGGGTGGGAATGCACTACTGCAACTGCTGCTCCTCCTGTGCGCTCGGAGCTGTCGGGGTTTGTGTCTCCAATGTTTGGAATGTTAATAAACTCCTCCGTTTGTGTCTTTAGCTCTTGGTCGTTCCTGGGAAGCAGCAGGGCCTGGGGCTGGGGTGGGTTTGTCTCAGGCAGGGAGAGCTGGAGCTGTGCCCAGGGCATTCCCACAGGACATTCCCGAGGGACACAGGACACTGCCAGGGTGGGAAGGGGATGGAAGGTCCCACCCTTAGCCTGTGCCAGTGCCAGGGCTCGTGCCAGGGTCTGGCACCTTCTGGGAGCAGTGGAGACCCCCTCAAATCCCACGGGAGCAAAGAGAGCACCCCACACCTGCCCCAAACACTGCCCTGCTCCTGCTTCCCTCCAAGGGCAGAGGGACTCTCACCGGAGCAGACTTAAAGCTCTGCTGGACAAAGGGACATTGGAGCCATCCTATGGTTAAAAAAATTCCCTTTTCCTTTGGCTTTTTTTCCTTGCCCTGGTGCTGCCTGCCATTCCCAGCTCCACTGTTCCTCTCCATGAGGAAAAGCCACAGTGCCATCCCTCGAGAAACAACACAACAACAAAGAAACACTTCCCAGTTTTACTTTTCCATCTTACTTTATTTCACTTTTTCTAGAAAATTCCTCCATAGTTCCACAAATTTAACAAAAAGTTTAAAATTCAGGACAAACAATCCTGTAACGTATTACAAACATGAGTTTTTTGTTTTGTGTTTTTTTATTTTTTTTTTATTTTTTAAATCTTGCAGTTAGTCTTGGCTCAGCTGCATTTCTTCCAGCTGAGTGAAGAACTCATCTCCCAACACAACTTTTAAAATCCTCAAGTGACGAGGTATTTAATACCCCGGCTCTAGGCAGAAATACAATTAAAAATTCTCTAGAAGTTGAAGTACTTACATTTTTCTTTAGGAGTGCAAACTCATCTTGTCAGTTTTTGATGGCTATTCCACGCCCCAGGAAAGCAACACCCCTTTGGGTCCTTTGAGCACGAATTAACAGCTGTTCCAGATGTGCCAGGGTGGGCACCTGGATGAGCAGGGAGGAGCCTCAGCCGAGCAGAGCCAGCTCTGGCACATCCCCAATGGAAAACTGGAACCGGAGCCGCTCCGGGCTCTGCTCGGGCAGGGGCACCTCGGGAAGGGACGTTGGAACCTCTCACCATCAAACACGGCCCAAGATCTGACAAAGAACTGCTTCTGGATTGTTGCATCAATTGCTCGGCTCGTTCTGATGMTCCCACCGCACCCCACGATCCCACGGGTGGCAGAGTCATTGCACTTCCATGGATTCAGCCTGACCTCAGCCAGCCTCGCTCCCTCCGTGGCCAAAACGCCTCCGCTGGCCTTTGCAGCCAGCCAGCCTCCCTTTCCTCTTTTTTTTTTCAACTTTTTTAATATTACATGTCAGTAATCAAAGCCTCAAGGCTTAACAATCGCAGACCAGGAGCCCGGGAAATGCTCCTGAGCCCTCCCTGCCCCTCGGATCTGACAGCCAAGGACGGAGGAGGAGCCGGGTCCTGATCCCACCTCCAACACGATTCAAACTCAGCAACGCGGGAAGCCCTGGGGCTGCCCAGCACCGTCTGTGCCAGCAGCAACACCACGAAGGGCACGGAAAAGTAACAGAGTCCTATCCATTTTCCTTGGAAAAACCATTATGGCTACAAGTCAATTTTGGATTCCTTTTTTTTTTTTTCTTCCTTTTTTTTTAACAACGCAAGCTACTACACATCCTCGAGGACCTGAAGCAATGCCCACGGCAGCACTGCCCCCTCCTTCCTAGAGTACAATAATCCATCCATGCTCTCAAGAGTGACACAAGAACAAACACTTTATCCACAAAAACCTGTACACGGCATGTTCAGAACAGCGTTCAGCCAGCCTAGAGGGAATCTACACAGGGAACTCCAAGGGGACACAAGACGAGGCCCAAATGTGACCRATTCTTTGTTTGCAAAGTCATTCCTCCTGTGCTCCCCGACGCTACCACATACCCCAAAAAACATCAACTCTGTAGAACAACTAAGTACTTGCAAAAAACCTTTTAGTAACAAATCAGCATGTGCACACAATGGAGAGGAACTATTGCTGGGGAACAATCCTACCTCGGGGTTTCAGGGGGATTATAAACAGTCTAAAAAAATCCATGTGTAAAATACTTCTTATAAAAACCAAACAAAATCCCTATCAATGCTCAGCAGACTTCACCCACAAAGTCACTTCCAGGACAGGACGATGCCACGGTGCTCAGGGACAGCCTCCCATGTGTGTCCTCGGGAGCTGTGAGCACAGGGGTGACAGGAGAAGGGGCAGCAGGGGAGTGGCACTGCCAGTCCCTCGAAAAGGGCAGCTCTGSAGGCTGTGACAGCCCAGAAGTGCTGAGATGGGGCTGGGGGAGGAGTGACCTGGGTGGAGAGGGCAGCAAAGACCGCGGGAGAGCTGGGGCTCAGCCYGGCCACCCCCACTGCTCTGGGGACATGACAATGTCACCAACCTCACCCAGCACGGGGGTGCCAGGGTGCCCAGAGTGGGCACAGCCCCATGAGGAGCTGGCAGTACCCACCCCGGGCTGTCACTGCTGTCCTCCACCGGGGACATCCCGCTGCCACCTCCTCCTGTGCCCACTGTCCTGCACCTTCTCTGGGCTCCCATCCAGCCCTGGCATCGTCCAGCAGGAAAGGAAAGAGCTGAGATCTCTGGCGTGACAGGGTTTGCACCTGGCATGAGCTTGAACTTCCATATATATATATATATATATATATATGTATATATATATACACACACACACATATATATATATATATACACACACACACGACACATGAAAGGTGGTACAAGGACAAAATTAATGGGAATCGGGTCAACATGACCCAACTCAAACAAGCTTATCATCATATTGCCACTTCAGTTGATTAGTTGCAACATTTCCATGATAAAGAAAGGGGGAACCCAAAACAAGGGACAGCAAAGCCGGAGCGGTGCGACCCTCCCTGAGCAGAGGGGCTCCCCAGCACCGCTGCTCCCACACYGCCTGTGCCCCACATTTGGCAAAAGCTTTCCACACCCCTGGGAAAAACGAGCAATTCCTGGGAAAATACTGAATTTAGGGAGCAGGAGTGGAAGAGAGCTTTGAGGAAGGCGCAGGGATTTGCCCACGCCCACCTGACAACACTTGGAGGTCAACACTAGTTTAACTAGAAATCASAAATGGAGGGAAGGGTCTGCATTAGTGTTTCTGTTTCCTGCCTTTTCCTGCACAGGCAGTGGGGCGGGAGGGGAGGAGGGAACAAACCCCTGGCTCCACTTTGTGTTTTACATCGGCGTCTCCCACGCGTGGCCAAAGGTTTAAGCTCTCCCTTGTTTTGGTTTTCCCAAAGTACAGCCACTACTATAGGGGCCACTGTAAGGAGATTCCTCTTTGAGAACACAGAACAAAACCAATCACGTGTTTTGGCAAAGTTATCAAACACTGACAAATGGAAAAGACGACGGGTGAGCCCCTTCTGGAGCACGGGATGCCTGGAGGTTGCTGTCCAGCTTCCTTACACTACAAATTGTCCACAAGAGGCATTGAACAAACGAGTCAAATCTTATTTAAGCGCCTTCCCCTGCCAGAGCCATTAAAAAACAACGGAAAAACACACCCTTAAGATCATAAGACCCAACTAGGCCCTTCTTATACATACAGTACATACATATATWTAATATATATATATAAAATATACAGCTTACAGTTTTGGAGTCCTATTACAGTTAAAGCAGACTGAAAGGAGTGGGACTTTGTTTAGGAGCTCAGATCAACAAAACGAGACATCTCCMAAGCCCAGCAGGAGACAGCAGGTTCCAGAGGCCTCCTCACCGAGCACAGGGAGCTGAGGGTCCTGTCCCCACCGGGARTCACATCACCGATCCCGTGGGAGATTCCACCCAGCTGGAATCCATCCCCTCTCCTCTGCAGCAGGACCAGCAGGACCCCGGGGAGCCTCCTGTGTCCCCAGTAGTTTTGTCAAAGCCCCTGTGCCCCACACAGCGCAGAGCAGCAGGGCCCCGCATCCCGGAGCTCTCGGCGGGCTGGTCCCGAGTTTCAGGGGAAGGGAACAGCGTCCACGCTGCTGCAGATCTCAGAGACGCCTGCAAAATGTGCTCTGGAAACACAGTCGCTCGAAGGGAAACCGAAAGGTGGCGCTGGGCAGCCTAAGTGCAGCACGCCTGCTCTGCTCGGGGCCTGGCCCACGGAGCCGGGCTGGGGACAGGCTCAGCAAGGCGGGCGCTGGTTCGAAGCCTACAAGAAAAGTGCAGCTGGCTGAGCATTCCTAGAGCATGGCTGTTCTCTAAGGCAGTGCTTCTTCGGGTGAGGCAGGAGGGTAAGAAGGCCTAGTTCCATGGGGTGGTTTCCTGGTACCAATGAAGGGGATCTCTGGTTGAAGAGCAGAGCCAGCTTGCCAGGCCCAGCGTCATGTGGCCACGGCCTCCAGGTAGCTCTGCAGCTTGCGGACGGTCGTCTCATCCAGGGAGAAGAGGTCAAAGTCAAAGGTTGTGTTGGTGACGTTGAAATGCCCRGTTTCCTCAATGAGATTGACGATCTGGACACAAGGGGGATGCRTGTGAGGACAGCACAGAGGGCAGCAGGGACAGAGAGCCTGTCCAGGCCTTTCCCACCCCTTTAGAACAGCCTTGGACTGGAGGATGTTTCACAGCAGGAAGGGAATCCTCTCCCAAAAAAGCAAACYAGCTCCTCCTGCATGCCTGACTGGCTCAGACTGAACAGTGATGGGGGCACACTTCTGTCTTTTTAATCATAAAATCCCAGGATATCCTGAACTGAAAGTGACCCTCAGGGATCATCAATCCCACCCTGTTCCTGCCCAGACCCCCCAACAACCCCACCCTGTTCATCCCTGACAGCGCTGTCCAAACGCTCCTGCAGCTCTGGCAGCCTCGGGGCCGGGACCATTCCCTGGGGAGCCTGGGCAGTGCCAGCACCCTCTGGRGACAGAAGAACCTTTCCCTGAGATCCATCCCAAGCCCTGACACAGCTCCAGCCATTCCCTGGCAGTGCCCAGCACCCTCTGGGGACAGAAGAACCTTTCCCTGAGATCCATCCCAAGCCCTGACACAGCTCCAGCCGTTCCCTGGGCTCCTGGCCCTGTCCCAGAGCAGAGCTCAGCCCCTGCCCCTCCGCCTCCCCTTGGGAGGAAGCTGTCAATCAACCCAAGCTGTCAATCAACCCAAGCTATCAATCAACCCAGGAGATTCCATCTTTGGGCCCACACCACACTCCTTTCTAATTTCCAACGATAACACCCCATCCACAGCTGATTTTTTCTTTTCCACATCTCTGCTTTCCAAGGCAGGCAGAAGCTCTSTGGAAGGTTCTGGCTGAGCCCCCCAGAGGACAGCAGGGACAGGGTCAGTACCTGCTGGAGAACGTTGCGCTCCCGTAGTGCCATGAGTCGCCTGTGGAGCTCCACCAGCTCRTCCGTGTAGGCCTGTGCAGGAGCAGGAACACAAACAGGGACACGTGGAGGGTTTGAAGGATGCCAAAGGGACTTCCCCTTTCAGACATTCCCAATCTTTCCCTACTTCTTCACCACCTCCTCCTCTTTCTCAAGTACTGCGAGACCAAAGACTTAAATATAAGAGGTTTGAAGGCCATTTTTTTTTWAAATTTCGTGACACTCACACCTGTAACCAGCTCCAAGAACTGGGCAGAACCTTTAAGGACCTCAGTGAGGTGAAGTTCACCTTGGTGATCCTCAATGTGAGCTCCTCATCAATGAGTTCTACTAATTAACTCCAAATTACCTGAAAACACCTGTATCAGTGACCAGCACCCCAGCAACCTGCTGTGCAATGATTTGTGTTTAGGTAAGGAAAAGTTCTTGGGTGTGCATTGTATTCCCAGGTAGTTTTACAGGAAATGAAGKATTGTTCACAGGTTCAGCATGCTCATTGTTCTTAGGTAAGATGGGTTTGGGTTTGTTTTTTGATTTGAGTTTTACTTAGACAGCCAGCACCAGGTCTGTATCAGCAGAACTGAACTCACTAAATTAATGGGATCAGTGAATCCCAGAATGGATACTGCTCTGCTCTTCTTGGAAGCAAGGAAGGAGGGAAWTTCATTGAACAAAGAAAGGTTCCAGGGCCTCCCCACCCTGACAGCCCACAATCCCTTCCCAATATCCCATCCATCCCTGCCTCTGGCACTGGGAAGCCATTCCCTGTGTCCTGTCCCTCTCCACAGGACACACCTTGTCATACGTTCCCTTCTTCAGGATCTTCTCTGGCTTGTTACAAGACTCYGGGCTTTTCCTTCCAGATGCCTGAGAGAAAAAGAAGCCAACAACAGGACTGAAATTAGCTCAGAAAACACAGAGGTGTCAAAAGGGAGGAATCACCTGTGTGCTGAGGACAGGAACAGGGGAATGTGGTTCAAGGAAGAATTTCCAGTGCAGGAAGAGGAGAGGTGGGAAGCAGAGCTGTGRGAARGGGGGATTTCATACCTTGTTGTTTGCTGGGGGCAGTTTCTGCCCAGGAGGYGGCTCCCGGCTGGGCGGGCAGGAGTCGGCGCTGTTGTCACTGTCACTGTCACTGAGGCTCAGTCTGAAAAACCACCAGCACAGAATGAGCATCAGCAGGGACAGCAAATTCATCAGCTGCCAGCTGAAACACACAAAGCTCAGTGAAATTGGCTTCTTTATCACACACTGCTACACTGGCTGGCAGGATGGGTGGCTGGAATCCCGTTTTTCCCAGCTGAGATCACCTGGCATTGCCTGGCAGGCAGGGCAGGGAGGTTTAATTGGCACATTGCAGGCAGCAGCTCAACTCTCACACACAATTCCCTTACAACAACTAAGCACCACTTGATTTTCACAGCAATTCCTCCCAGAGTCACCAAGTACCTGCATGTGAGGCTCAGCAACACCTCCACAGGCAAAAAATGCATTTAGTGCTGCTGCTAGGACATCTGAAATTTCCCAGTCATTCTCATTTTCCTACAGATACAGCAGGGATCCTTCCTGTGATGACCCTGAAAACTGGTTATCCCCTAAAGGTCTACAGAAACACCCTTCAAAGTCTCCCCAGCCGTGTTGATAATGACAAGTGCAATAATGGATTTTTGTTTGTTGTGGCAAACACCAGCAGCATTTCCAATTTGCAGCTGCTCTCTGGGCCGAGCATTTGGGTCCAGGTATTCACTGAGACTGMAGGTTTGGGCTGTAACAGCATTTGCTGAGGGGAGAAGCATGAAATTCAGTATTTCCAGAGACAGAGGCAGGAAACAGCTGTAACTGAGTCCCAGAAGAGGGGAGCAGCTGACACAGGATGGGCAGAGGGTGACTCTTGAGCCCTGCCAGTCCCAGGGCAGCACACACTGCCTGTCCCCTCCACATCCCTGATCTGTGCAGATCAAAGGTGTCACACTGCAGCAGCTCAGCACAGATCTGAGGGTCACAGTTAGGTGACTGCACTCACTGACACCTGCCAGCTCAGCCCAGCATTTCCCAGTGCCTCCCTCTGTTTGTGCTCCCTCTGTTTGTGCTCCCTCTGTCAGTGCCTCTCTCTGGGCTCCTCAGCCAGCTCTGTTGTCACCAGCTCTGTGTGTGAGTGACCCCACAGCTCTGCCCTTCCTCCCCTCTCACACAGAGCCCCAGCCCTTTGATTGCTCCCTCCAAACACCAAATGCAGAGGCCAAGGAGCATCTCTGTTCCGGATTTGTTACCACCTGGAATCCCGGCTGACRGGGTTGGCTTTGACTGCTGCCTCCTCTCCAGAGGAGCTGTCATCATCATCCGACTCCTCCGACTGCAGATCCTCCACCATGGAGCGCAGGGGGCCTGGGGGCACAGGGAGAAGGGAATTCAGCACCAGGGCACAGTCAGCAGAACTCCACCCCAAGGCCTGAATCTAAACTGAGACACATCCTGATTCCCAGTACGAGGTCACTGGGAAAGGACACCCTGTCCCATGCTCRCAGCAGAGCTGACAAACTTTACAACTCCCTCCCCTCCTTTCCCTTCCCAAATGAGAACAAAAGGACATATCTTTCATGGTGTGGGGCTGATTTAAATGTCACTTGAGACAGTAGCAGCACAGCATTTGCTGCAGTTGGAACATTTACTATTGCCAGAGTTTCTGGGTTATCAGTGGAGGCAYCTGAGAAAGGAGCTGTTACACACTGGCAAAGTGATGAATGGCACATTTATAATTCTTAATAAAACATAGATGAGATTGGAGGAGAACTGTTCTGGTGATTCTACAGATCAGGCACCAGCAAGACATTTATAAACCAAAGCCAAAAGGGAAAGAAYCAAATCCAGAGGGATTCCCTACTCATAAATTAGCTGCCAAGAGAAGAAAAATACTTGTTCATGATCTTACGACATTATTGCCTTTTCTTGCTGAAGCATCACAGCTCCAACACATGGCTGCATGCAAGAAACTGTATTATTATAGTGCTGGAAAARCAGATTTAATTCTCTTGAGTCTTTAAAGGTTATACAAGGAAGGTTTCAACAAATTATTTCTGGCAACACACCTTGACTGTGGTTCTGAGATGGCTCGAAATCAGAGTCAGAGCTGGAGTCGGAGCTGGAGCTGGAGTTGGAAGGGCTGGACTGGACAGACTTAACCCCCCATAAAAGGGAAAAAAAGAAAAAGAATCTTAATCTTTCTAATCCAGAAAATCAGAGCACAAAGCACTGTGAGACAGGAGCATTTGAGCACTCTATAACATCACCCATCACTGAACGTAGTTCTTGGGATTACAGAAACAAACTAAATGTGAGGTGAATAAAAACATTTATGGATGTTTGGCAGGATGTAGCTGAGAACTGCTGGGAGCAACATCAAGGACTCCCACCAAACCCCTTCACATCATGAGGTTCAGATCCCCCAAAGGATGATRTGGAGCATCTGAAAAACACTGAAATGAGTACCCCTTACTGTGAAGTGTGACAGATGTGCACCACAAAACCCAGAATTACCCAAGATCTCTTTAAGTGTCTATTTACTGTACTCACTGAGGTTCCCTCTGAACATCTCACAGTGATCCCTCAATGGAATCACAGAGTCATGAATTGGTTTGAGTTGGAAAGRACCTTAAAGATAATTTRAACYAATCCACTGTCCCAGGTGGGATAACCCATCCAGCCTGGCCTGGGACACTGCCAGGGATCCAGGGGCAGCCACAGCTGCTCTGGGCACCCTGTGCCAGGGCCTSCCCACCCTCCCAGCCASGAATTCCTTCCCARTATCCAATCTAACCCTACTCTSTCAGTTTGAAGCCACTGTCCCTTGTCCTGTCWCTCCAGACCCTTATAAATAGTTTATCTTTCCTGTAGCTCCCTCCAGGCACYGAAAGGCCACAAYTGGGTCACCCCAAAGCTTCTCATCTCCAGTAAACAATTCAAATTCTCCCAACCTCTCCTAACAAACATGGAGAGATGTCTATTCCAATGAGCCCACGTGACTCCAAAACTAATTCTAAATTATTATTATTGTATCCTAAAACCAGTCATTTCTCCACCAGTTTCCACTTAATCATGAAAATAACACAGAGCAGCTCAAGCTTTGTGTGGCCAACTTGTGTCAGCACTCAGCAGAAACACCAGGAGTATCCTGTGAAATGAGAGTGAGTGAAAAGTAAATTAAATGTGGGTAACAGCAGCATCCAGAAGGGAAATTTGRGTGAAACTGGGAAGTTTTAATCTTAAATTCGACGCTGAACAGCAATAGCCTGCAATAGCCCCGGGGACCGCAAGAGGGTAGCAGAGGCCACAGCAACTCCCTCCGACCCCAAACGGTTCCTAAAATCCCCTGAAAATGTTGGGGACTCAGCAGGTTCTAGTTTAAAGATTCTCAAAGTACAGTAGTATCTTGCCTTTTGAAAAGTAATTCCCTGGAAATCAGTATTTCAGTTGCACTGTTTCATTCCTAGGAATCCACTTACTACTACTGCTGCCAAATCCTGATGCTGGAAGAATCCCACATTCCCATAAACTCCATTACAGGAAGGGTTAATGCTATAAAAACCTTGTGACGGGCACAAGAGGCACACTGGCAGTTTTGGCAATTGATAAGTGGAAGTGGCAGCAGAAAGTTTCATTCCAATACCACCCTTCTTTATAATTTATCACAGAATCCCAGAGCCCTTTACGTTGGGAAAGCCCTCCAAGATCAAGTCCAAGCTGTCCCCATCCCACCTTGTCACCAGCCCAGGGCTCTGATTTCCACATCCAGCCCTTCCTTGGGCACCTCCAGGGATGAACACTCCAAACCTCCCTGGGCAGCCCCTGCCAAGGCCTGACCACCCTTCCCATGAAGGAATTCCTCCTGATGTCCATCCTATTCCTCCCCTGTTCCAGCCTGAGGCCGTTCCCTCTCCTCCTGTCCCTGTTCCCTGGAGCAGAGCCCGATCCCCCCGGCTGCCCCCTCCTGTCAGGGAGTTGTGCAGAGCCACAAGGTCCCCCCTGATCCCCCCTTTCCAGGCTGAGCCCCTTTCCCAGCTCCCTCAGTCTCTCCTGGTGCTCCAGACCCTTCCCCAGCTCCATTCCCAACCCTGGATACACTCCAGCCCCTCCATGTCTTTCTTGTCATGAGGGGCCCAGATCAGACACAGCACTTGAGGTGTGGCCTTGCAGAGCCCAGCACAGAGGGACAATCCCTGCCCTGGGCCTGCTGCCACACCATCACCCAGGTATTGGCAAGRGTTTCATTTACTCCACTGTAATAAAGGGGGAAATGTGTCAAAGAGGGTGTTAGAGCCTTTGGGAAGGGTTCAGRAGCAAGGGAGAATAATTTAACAATACCAATATCAAATCTGTTGCCACACTGCAGCCTGGTTGTTGGAAATTCCAATATGGAAGTGGAGAGCAGAGACCAGGCTGTCCAGAGAAGCTGTGGCTGCCCCTGGATWTCTGGGAGTGTCCAAGGCCAGGATGGATGTGGCTTGGAGCAMCCTGGGATAGTGGAAAGTGACCCTACCCATAGCAGGGGATAGAGTGGGATGTTCTTTAAGGTCCCTTCCAAACCATTCTGGCATTTATGAACATTTTCAAGCAAAGGGAGCACAGCTCTTGTGTCTGACCCACATCTCCAATCCTATATCCCTACATCCCTCATTCCTGGTAATCTGCAGATCTTCCCTTAAAATGACCCAACAGGACCTAAGCAGCAGAAGTTGGAGACAACCCCCATCTCCTTTTGCCAGAGCTCTTTCAGGCAGAGGAGGATGCAGCTGGACATGCTCCGTGTGCTCCGTGACTGTCACCGGGATGTGACCAAAGCACACGCCGACAATGGCAAAAAACAGCGCTGCCTCCCATCCCTGCCTCCCCCTATTGTCAGCATCGAGGCAGCCAAGCATGAGGCCAGTTCAGGGAACTGGACTTGATGGGGGAAAGAAAAGAAAAAAAAAAATGTTAAAAAGCCCCAGAAAAGAGAAGGAGCTGAAATAGCAGAAGAAACTCTTTCATCCTACTGCAGAGTCCTCCTCTGAGCTCCCAGAGCAGGAGCTCAAGTGGGAGCAGGGCTGCTCCTCTGCACRGCAGCCAAAGATGTCAGCTGGGAGCCACCGTGGAGCTGCAGCCCCGGAGCTGTTGCACAACCCCTTGGCTGCAGCAGCAAAGCTGATTTAAGAGTTTCCAGGCCCTGCTCCACCTCCAGCTGCTCCCTCACTTTAGTGCTGTGGCTCCCACCCGGCTCCACAGYGGCTGTGCCAGGAGAAATCCTGGAGCTGTGGTGCTGGGAGCAGGGAGATCSCCCCAGGGTGCAGAAGGAGCTSCAGTGTGCTGTGCCAGTGCTTTATRCAGCTGTGCCCCTGGGGTCAGCTCCACAGAAAGCTCAGCTGGTGTGAATGGCAGCTGCCACCATTCCCTGTCTGTCACCCCGGGTATCCCTGCCCTCCCCAAATTGTGCTGTCCAGCACCCAACACACACAGGGGCTGGAGCAGGGGAGGACACTCTGGGATCAGGACAGGCTGCAGCAGATGCTGAGGCCCCACTGGCACAGGCTGTGGTTTCAGGGCCAGCCTGAGCAGCACGATCAGCTTACACTGCCCKGGATGGAGAGGGGATGGTGACACTGCAGGGATAAGGAAAGACACTTTGGGATCAGCACAGGACACGGGTTTGTAGGGAGGGCTGTGGGTCTGGAACTGAGGGAACAGAGATCTGGAATTGCTGTGCTCTGCTGCACTGTGGGTAAAAGGTTGAAAGTGGGGAGGAACTGCCTATTCTTAATGCCCAAAGTACAGATTTAATCCAYCTAGGAAATAAATCATGGAATCCTGGAATGGTTTGGGTGGGAAGGGATCTTAAAGCTCATCCAGTGCCACCCTCTGCCATGGGCAGGGACACCTTCCACCATCCCAGGGTGCTCCAAGCCCTGTCCMGCCTGGCCTTGGACACTTCCAGGGATGCTACTTCYGTGCAGAGTGGAATTAACACCTCCCCAATAAACTCTTCTACTGGGAATCCTGCAGAAAAAAACCCTTCCTGACAAACAAATCAATATTTGCTGTATCACAGTGCTGATTAAATCATAATACAAACTGTCCCTAGAAAATGCATCTTAATAAAATAAATCTTTCTAAGAGTGGTCAGGAGGAAGCAGTTCCAGAATTCCCTTGACATTATCCTGTGAGCCGTATTACAAGATATATGGCTTCTTTATAACAAATACACAAGTGAAAAGTATCAAGAGTTTGKATTTGTCTGTCTCCTCCTACATTTTTTTTGCCTTCTTTTGGAAAACACTTTTTAGAAAACAGAGGATGAGGAATGTTCTCAGTTGTAAAAAGGAAAAAAATATTTAGACAGCTTTTAAAAATAGTAGTACAAGAACATAATTTGTTTTAYGTTTCTCAACACAACTTATTTAGATTAAGTGGCATGTGGTTGTATTTTGAGCTTCAGCCAATGGCACATTTCTTACAGGCCATGGCAGGAAGAGGGGTTTTATTTACATTTTAATACTGTTTTTTTGTTACCAAAACTAAAATMATTTCCTCCTTTTCTGAAATAAGAYCACATTCAAAAACACTGTTGCCATAAGCAGGCAGAAAGTGTCTCTGTATCTCCTAGAGCTCYGTGGATGTCACTGCAAGGGATGAGTGAGGGCCCATAACCTTAAACTCTGACTTTTAGGTAACCTTGCCTGCAGATAAATCTCAACAGAAGTTTGTATCTGAAACAGGAGCTAAACCACACAGGAGGAATAATTAATACTGACTGGATTTTCAAAGAATTCTATTTCAGATACAACCCAACCTAAGCATTTCCCAATCTGCTTCTCTATCTTCTCTGAGAGASTATTTTTAACATCTTTTTCAGGCAGGGATTTAACATTCCAAATTCTGGTAAAGGATAAATCCCTACTCACCTCTGACTTGAAAGAAGTTTCATCCTCTGAGTTCGACTCCTCCATTTCCACAGGCTTTTTGATCTCCTTGGCCTCGCTCTCAGATTTTACCTTCTCCACTTTGGCATTCATCTTCTCCTTGGTTTGTTTCTTCTCTGGATATGAGGAAGACGAGGTTCTGGGAGATGTCCCCAGGATATTCTTYACCCCTTTGGAGCTACTCTTTTTTTGTTTTTTGGCACTAGGCTTTGGTGACTCCACGTTGGAGGGCCTCTTGCTGGAAGACTTTAACTCCGGCTGTGGCCCCCCCTTTGGAGAAGTGTTCTCCAGTTTGGTCTCCTTCACGGCCAGTTTTGGTTCCTTGAAAGCAGCTTTTGGAGGTGCCTTCTCCTCCTTAGGCAGTTTGTTCTCAGTTGGTTTTCTGGAGGAGTCCTTCAAAGGCTTGTTCTGTTCTCTCTCAAGCTCTTTGGAGGAGTTTTTGCTCTCAGAGTCTTTCCTGGGCCTCTCCCTGTGCTCCTTGGTTACTTTATGTGGCTTGGATGCTTTGCTACTTTCCTTGTTTGCATCCTAAAATTCAGCAACAGAAACATGCAAGCTGGGTATGAAATGGAAGCTCTGCACAGAATGATAAAACACATCCTCATAAATCACATGGAAATGTTTGTTTCATGCAGAAATCCACCCCCACATGCCCAGGTGAACATCAACATTTYCCTCAAGCTGATGGACAGACATAGTGGCCACTTCAACATTTAGGAAAGGATGGAGCATGTTCCTGTTCCTTTCCAGGGTCTGTGAAAGGTCTAGAAACATCTAGAGATGTTTAATTCAGATTTAATCGAATGCCAACACAGATGCACCTCAGAGGGCACCCTGGAGGAAGGGAAGCAGGAGAATGTTGTCTCTTTAGCAACTGGCAATTTTCACCAATTCATCTCAGAGCCCTTTATTCCTCTGCTCTCCTGTGTTTTCCAGGGCTTAATTCCTGACCAAAATTAAATCAGCCACTAACAGGTAAGTCATCTTCACTCTGTTTCATAACAGCAGAAGGCATAACTGAAGTGCCAGAGTGTTTAGAGCCCCGAAGAACACAGCTATCAGAATTGAATTACACTGGAAAATGAATTGTTGTTAATACCTGTGACTGTTCAGCCTGATAAAGTGCATGTAATCTGCTCCAAAACACATTGCTTGGGGATTGCTTCTCCCATGTAGGATTATACAAAAATAGCTTCAGTACATAAGGGAAAAAAAGAAAAAACTTGAGGTTCTTTAGAAGTCTCMGGAACTGGCTAGTGCTGGATGCAAACATCAAATCTGGAAAGCACCAGTTTGACCAAGTGAAGCATATTTGATGTTCTTTCCAGCACTGCCCTGAGGACAAGAGGAAGGGCTGACTTTCCACTCAGCCTTCCTGCCAAGAGATGCAAGGACTCAGAGTACAGCTGGGCATGACAGACAGTGAGAGAGCCACAGAATCCATGCTCAGCATCCAGGATACACGCAGAACAATCAGGGAGGATTTAATCCACCTTTAAGGAAGATACGATTCACCAAAAATTCCCAGTCTTGTGCATTTAATTTTCTTTTCAAAACTTCCCTGGAGAGAAGTCAATCAGATCATAAAAAAAAAAAAAGCCTCCTAAAGACTGGGAAGTTCCAGACCATTAACTACTGAACTGCAGAGTACAAGGAGGTTCAGAATTAGCAGCAGCCAGGAACAGCTGCTGAACAAGCTCTCAGCAGCYTGGCCTGAAAGACTCCTTCACCTCAGGCTGACCCAAAAGTGTGCTTGCACTGACCTTTGACCCATGGGAGGGTTTGGTCTTCTTGGGATCAGAGAAGGCTGAGAGAGGTATCGTGGGCAGCATGGGATAATCGGGACTCGGCCTTGAAACAGTCTCTGCTCCCTCTGGCATCACCATTACCTGGGAATAAAGAGGAGGAAAATTATGTCTGYGCAAAGTCTCACGGACTATTAACTATTAACACATGATTATGTTAAGCCACTTGCTCAATTAACACACTATTATTCATCTTTTCAATTTTTTTTTCCTCCCCTGCTTAAAGGCCATAAAAAGATATTGTCTATGKAACGCTCAGTTTTGAGGCAACTCCTCAAATACAGAATATTAAACCCACAAAAACRGAAAGGCAGCGATGCAATATCGAGTGTCTTTCCCAAAGGGAATGCCAATATTCTGAGCACAAGCAGGCAATAAAGCTCTGGACAAGAACTGTGTGTTCTGCTGCAAATGCTCTTCCCCTGAAAAAGGGTAGGGAGATAAATCTGGAAGGAATGAGCAAGACTTGCTCTGTTTAGGAGAAGCTGAATTCAGTCATTCAGGGGGAAAAAGGGAAAAAAACAGATCTTGGGTGTCTCCCTTGACAGAATCTCAACACCAAGCACTGAGCAATTCCCTTCTTACCTCCCCTATTTTGTCAGAATAGTTCTGTGGAAAATTTCCACCACAGAAAAGGCATCAAAAGTGAAACACCTCAATACACCAGGACTACAACAATGTACTGGGAAAATTCTAGAGAGCAGATGTTGCAGCCATCCTAGGGGTGAAATGAGCACCTTCCTCTCTGTGACCAACACAGAAAAGCACCTGCACACTGAGGAACAGGAATCATGGAATGATTTGGATTGGAAGGGACCTTAAAGCTCATCTTATTCCACCCCTTGCCATGGGTAGGGCACCTTCCACTATCCCAGGTTGCTCTAACCATGTCCAACCTGGCCCTGACATCCTCTTATTAAAAACCTCTTGCATTTGTGGCTTGGACAGATTTCCCCAGATCCTGCAGTTATTTCAGAATCATGCTTTAACCTACCACTGCTTACTACCCTCCCAGATGGAAGAGTTCAGCTACTGCAGCAACCCATACTTCACTGGGCCTACAAGAGAATATCTATTTTCATCCCACTCACACCTATTTTCACTCTATGTTGTCAAATTTTTCATTAATTTTTTATTATCTAAGCCACAAATAGCTGATACCAGGTTTAGAGGTCATTTATTGACCAGGAAGCACTAACTACTAAGCTAAATAAATAAATAAATAAATAAAAGAGTAAGGAATAGTTTGGAAGCCTCTCTCTTTCCTTGAGTTTTTCTGTACTGACCCAGCTCCTGGCCCCAGGAAGGTCACAGGTAACTGGAGCTGCCTGATTGACAGCCTACAACATCCACAGCAGGTCTCACTTCCCAGAAGAGTTCAGTGCCTTGATATTAATGCTCACATTTCAACTGAAAAGTGAAGTGGCACCAATCACACACCCGTAATGGGTTTGTTCTGCTTCGAGAGCTGCAGTCCTATAACCACGAGTCAAAAACTGGCTGGGTCATCTTACAAATGAATGTAGAAAACTTCTTGAACCTTGCTGGGCTAAAAGAAACYTCAAAACAAAACAAGCTCAGTCATTTTAGGATCCCGAATTGARCACTTACCCCTCCAGCCCTGATGAGTTTGCGCCTGAATTCCTTGGTGGGGTTGTTGAAAGTCAGCTTCTCACAACGAAGGTGGTTCACAGGGGGATTCCCCTCCAGATTTAGGAACAGGTCGTATGTGAAACAAACCTTTTTGGGCTCCTCCTAAAAACAAGAAAGGCTTTGGGAAACCGGAAGAAGCTTGGCAAGCACAGTAAGTCTGGGGATGCAAACAGTCACYCCTGAAAATCCCAAATAAACCACTAAGTGTTGCATTCATGGAGTTTTTCACCATGAGATCAGAGAGCTGGAAATGAAACCATTTGTGCTTGTGTTCATCAGGAACTCGGGCATGAGGCATCTCACTGCAAAAGCAATGTATTGACACAGACTTTGACTAAAAATTATGTTTAAAGCTGTTCAAGTCTCCCCAGAAAAGCAGATTCAYATGCTTTATGCACTACTGTGTTTTCACCAAAATTCAGATCCTATCTCCTTTGGGAAGCACCTCCAAGTATCAATATTAAGAAAASCATAATCCTTTCTTAGAGAAGGAACAACTTGTGAACTCCCAGGATCTCTGTGGGCACTGAGAAAAGATTAAACACCAACGGGAAAAGGATGGCTTGGTTTGCAAAATCCTTTTCAATATGCATATTGCAGAGGCTGAATGGGAAGATATCCCAGGCTTTTGAACTTTCCAAGGGCACTTTCACCCAAGCAATCCAGAGTTTGTATGCATGGTGGGGGGATCATCTGCGCCTCACTGCTTCTKTTCCACCTGCTGCGTTTGCAGCACAGAATGGAAGAAATCCCCCTCCTTTTTTCCCCCCTCCAAAATTGCAAATATCCTTCTTGTGTATTACAAATATCGTCAGGGCACTGCCTGGTGCTCTCTTGCATTTTGCATTTCCAAGCTGGAAATTCAATGTGGCAAGAGAGGCTGTGCTGGGAGGCCCATGCGTATTTCCATGAATGCATCCCACATGCCTCATTCCCTGCGCAGCACCGAGCAGCTGCACAGCAGTCTTTTCCAGAATTCCCATCCAGCAGCTCCATTTCCTGGTGCAGTGGCATTGTTGGATGGGAACAGGCACTGCAGGCTCCCAGCCCCAGCCACAAGATTTGATGAAAATAGGTTGAAACGGCTTCAGGCCACCCTGGRGCCTGCTGTTTGCTCCAGAGGCCATTCCTTGGAACAGCTACACCTCTAAAAATACAAAGGGTGGGAGCTACACTTGGTCTACATCAAAATCAGTACCCTGAGCTCATCTGGGAGTCGAGGTTTTGGGTCCTCACCCCCAAACAGGAGCAGGCAGACATCAACAGAGTCTCAGATTAACACGYTGCCAACACCAGGACTTCAGACCCTCTTTTGGGAAAGCCCTGAAGAATCCACACCCTCCTGAAAGGAGTCTACTAAAACAGATAAATGAGAAGAAAAAGAAAAATCCTTGCAAAATACACTGCCCTGTGATTTGCCTGTTTTCCATGCCCGTTCTCATTAACGGAATCATTAGCGAGCTCTGCGTGTGCGCTCGCTGCAGTTCAAACAGCAGCTGCACAGGGTCCCTCAAAGTCTAATAAACTGAAATGAAGGATGAATAGAAACCCAAATGTGGCCTAATAATGGCTTCTAAAATGCTTTCCCTGGTTTACAACAGAGTAAATAATCTTGGCTGTAATCAGCAAGMGCAGGCTTTGGGCAGGAGCTGTTTTGCCATCCCATTACCAGCTCTGCTTTGTCATTTGCCTGTTTGCTTTCCAAGCAGGAGAGGTAGCAGATCCYTTCTCCTCTCTCACCTTAGCTATCCCATTTTTAATACAGCCTCGCAAGCAGCAGAATATGTCTCTGTTGAATTTTTGTAGAATTAAGACAGTTTTTCAATGGATTCCTTCAACTCAGAGATCACAACTGCCCTGGGAATGAGCCCCAGCAGAGCGCTCTGATCATTAAAATCTCCTTTGTATCCCCCGGGCCATAAGGAGCCCCTGGCCCCCCCAGTGAATAGTTGAGATTACAGCACTCCTAAAAGAACCACCACAAAAGTCTCAAAGCAAAAAGCTGCAAATAAACATTCTTTCCTTTACTGCCCTCACTGCCCAGCTAATGATTACAGCTCAAGCCACTCCAAAGCTTAATCCATCCGGTCCTCCCTAAAAGGTTCTTCCCTCCAAACAACCATCAAGGGGGAAAAGGGGGGGAGAAACCCAAGGAAAATCTCTCTCAATTGACCCAGACCTACCCATCCTCTAACTTTAAACGGAAAGCCAGGCTGAATCCACAGTGCCACACTTCAAAGCCTTTCTCGATAATATGTCGGGATCCACACATCCTGCTGCTGGCAGCTGCAASCCAGGGTAGGTTCTTTCTCACCCTACAGACTCTGGTCCAGACAATCCTACAACATCCCTTTACATAGTCCTGCTTCTACACACACAAGGCAAGKTTTAGGGTTAGATAATTCCACCTTCTGGTATTCCTTGATGTCAACCATTAAAACTGAACGGGGAAAACCCTTTTTATGGATATTTTGCTGCTCCCAAGACCATATGCTTTTCTAAATGGCCTCACTTCCAAGAAAAGCTTTCAAAAGGATGGATTGCATCCATTTCTAATTCTTCAGATTCAAATTCTATGGTGCATTTGGCCATGAAATAGTTAAGCTGGTGCAGGGATGTCTCAGCAAGGCACCTCAGAACTGCAGTTTGCATCTGCCCCTTAAATCCCAGGATGCCAGAGAAGTAAACTCCAAGTGAGCACCACAAAGCCAGGGCTTTTATTTGCAGCTGCTGTAAACTTCCCTTCATCCAGAGAATCCCCCTATTCCACCTCCAATCTCCTGAGCTGGGTACATTAGGTTTTATTTTTACTGCTTCCTGTCTGCGCCGCCTGCCACTGTGCTGTTATGAGCTCTGAAGCTGCTTTATTTTTCCTTTGAGTTCTCAAGTAATGGGTTAAAGTTCTTTTGGCACTTTTTGTAAGAGGAGGAATTTTTCAAAGTCTTTTGTTAAAATTTCCTTGTCTTGTTTTTAAGGCAGGGTGTGCCCTTTGCCACTTAACACAAATCAAAAGAATTTCACTGCTACCGTGCGCATAAAGCTCATAAATCACTTTTAGAAAGCCATAAAACAAAATTATCTACAAAAATCTAGCACACCAAGGAAGCAGGCTCATGGTTATTCAATAACTATAACATCTAACACCACTTCCCTTTTGCCATAGATCCAGCCTGACAGAGGCATTTATCCGGAACGTCTGGAGAAATGAAACCCCTTCCCAGGCTGGTACAACCTGTCTGACTGGTCCTGGAGCTGCTTCCAGACTGGGCATTGGTAAGGGAATAGCCCAATATTCAGATTTTGAAATAAACAGCTTTATGTTCCACTCAGGAATCCATGAGCCACCCTTATCTTTTGGAAGATTCTTCAGCGTTAAGCATTTAGGACTTTCCTCCATCAGATTATTTCTTTGTTTGAAAATTAGGTTTTCCTAATAGATTTTTATATTTTTTAATATATATCTACCCATAATAAATATAATAAATATATGAGGATAAATCTATATCTACTCACTACTGCAAGACAAGCACTTCATAACCTACTAACTCCTACAAATACATGATATGAAGCTGACATGGCTGGCAAAGCTTCTATCTTTGTAAATACCTCCTTGCCATGCACTGCAAATATAAATATATATTAAAATTTATATAAATATATGTATTTTCAGCATCTGGAGGTGCCTATGSATGTGCCATACTGAATGACTACTCCAACGCACACAGCCCAGAGSTTTTGGCCCTGCTCAGATAAAGGAATGGGTAAATTGATAATCTATCCTAATTYCTGACAGAAAAAGGTAAAAATAAAGACTCACTGGTCAGCAGCAGCAGGACAAAGGGAAGTGCTGCAGGTTTGGAAAGGAAGATGATGCAGGACAGACCTAAAATGCTTCCCTTAAAGGCCAGACAAAAGGACAAGTTTTACTCCTCCTGCCACAACTTTCAGCAACAMTGAGTAAGTTTAAAGCCAACAGGTTAAAGCTACTCCTCCTCTCCTCAAACCTGTGCACATTCAGCCCCAAGAACACAGCAGTTTAAATCAAATCAAGTGTCTCATGCAAACACAGGCTCTTCAACCTTCCCCAGGTTATTTCCCTGGCCAATAGGTTATTTCCATGGCCAATACTTGCCCCAACCTTCCCCAAGGGTATTTCCCTGGCCAGTGTTTGCCCCAACCATCCCCAGGAGTATTTCTCCTGGCCAAATATTTGCCTCAGCCTTCCCAAGGGAGTTATTTCCCAAGCCAATCCCTTCCTGATGGCCCAGTCCTGACACCAGTTGTAGCTGATTCTGTTTCACCTCCCCCACCATATGTGCAGCCCACCWACAATGCCTCCACCGAGTTCCTACTTTGATTCATAAATAATTATTCCCTTTTCCAATATTTCTCTATTTGTTTTCTCTATCACACCTACAGAGGTTGCAGAAGGGGTAAATATGCATATTTTTCTTTTGAACCTCACTGGAAAAATCAAACGGATTTTTCTGCTTTCTTTGCTTATCTCCTTCTCRCTAATAGGAAAAGCCCAAGTTCCATGTATCCATTATGTAAATCCTGGAAGGCTTTTATCTCTAGCACTAAAATTAGGAGGTAGCATCTTTAAAGAGACTTTAATACAACATCTTATCCATGTTGCATTAATATCATCTGCCTTATATCAGAATAACATGAAAATCTACTAGACCTTTAGCTTTGTGGGGAGGATTGATCTAATTTGATTAGGATGCAAAAAATGTCACAGGGAATGAATACCAAAGCCAGACCTGTATTACAGCCTCCAGATTACAACATGTACCACTAGAAGAGATTTATTTGGAGACAACAATGAAAAAAAAAAGCCTCCAGACTGTTGAAATTGAGGGGGAGAGGGAAGGGGAAGAGCAGGAGAAAAACAGCAACGCATTTGTTGTACCCRGTTTGTATCGATTCGAGCAGCAGAAGCCACTCACAGCAGCCCTCGTTACAGGAACACAAAGGATTTCAAAACAAAAATAGCACACTAACATTTCCAGTCCAAATGATCTGCTGTCATTAGCCAACTCCACTTTCAAAAGCTTTATCAATCAACCTGCTGAGCCCCTGCCATTTGTTTTTCAGGATCAGTTACAGCAGCAAAGGCTCTGCCAGTGTTAAAGGAGACTGCGAGTCCTGTGGCTGCTCAGAGCCACAAACTGCCCAGGCTCACTGCAATATTCACAATTTATATTCAGCAATTCAAATGCCAACACTGAGAAAGCACCTACTCATGGAGGAGCTGAATTGCAGCACAGGAAGGACAAACAYAGGCCAGCAATGTTCACAGAGGATAAGAACAGGCTCTTAAACCTTTTTCACACTCTGCTGACACTTCCCTGTCTGATAAAAAGACACAAAGAGCACTGAGTCTGCTACTCCAAAGACACAACAATTGTAGCAAAAAGGGAATCCTCCAACACAAAGAGTTAATGGGCAATTTTATGCCAAGTTGCCTAAAAAATCCCTSATGAAGTTCATGAAAACCATGCTTACTAAAGCTGTTCCTTCACAGAGCACAGGTCAGGATTTCTTTAGCCGAAGCAAAGCGAACACGGGCTCTGACAGCCAGGATTTGTTATCCCAGTAACAAATCAGAACAGGGAAAGGAAATGGCTAAGAAAGGAGGCTTAAACTGTGGGAAAAAAAAACCCCATTTCAACCAACCATGGCAAAGATCAATCTCCACAGATTGGCTCACTCCCTCTTTAAATCCTTTCTCTTCTCACCTTCACAAAGCTAAACAGGCATCGATAAACAAATCCCAAAGCCTCTGCAAGTCTGGTTTCAGCAGAGGACACAAAACAACAAAAATGTGTCAGAATGTAAGGAACATATGGCCACAAAACCCACCCAACTCCCCCTGCCCAGTCACCTCCAAAGAGCCTTTTCACCCCAATCCCAGAACAAATCCATAACATCTACTTGAAGAGAATTACTCAAGGATGAGTCCCAAATGCTGTAATCAATTCACAATATCTGCTGCACACACACCAGCTGATCCCCACCAGTGTCAACAGGTTTACACAGATCAGAGGGCTCTTGAAATAATAAAGACTTTGATTTGTTTGGTGTTTTAACATCACSGTCTTTAATTCAGGAGAACACAGGCTGTATCCTAAGCCTTTGCCACTCCTCCTCTACTTTCTCTCTCTTTTAAATTTTCACTTTGCATTTCTATCTTTCCTTTAGAAGTATTTACCTCTTACACTTCCTTCAACTCCACCTACTGAAAATAATCAGAGCTCTTAAAATTCCAAGATGGCATTATCACTGGGCAGTGGTGGATAGAGGAGCCCAACTCTTCATATTAAATCATGGAATATTTGAAAATATTGAAAAGGATTGTTGAAAAGGATCCACAGGGATCATGAATCCAACTCCTGCTCTGCCCAGACCCCCCAACAACCCCACCCTGTTCATCCCTGGCAGCGCTGTCCAAACGCTCCTGCAGCTCTGGCAGCCTCGGGGCCGGGACCATTCCCTGGGGAGCCTGGGCAGTGCCAGCACCCTCTGGGGACAGAAGAACCTTTCCCTGAGATCCATCCCAACCCTGACACAGCTCCAGCCATTCCCTGGGTCCTGTCCCTGCTCACCACCTCAGCAGCAGCTTCTGAGTTCCCAGCAATCCTAAGTTAGCTTCTGGTTGAATCTGAGATGTCTTTGTTTCAATGATGTGCTGGAAGATGAAACCTATCACCTTTTCCCTCAACCACCCCTTGCCCCAATTAAATAATGAGAGGTGCTGCCTGAAACTCCTTAATTAGCAATTTGTTAATCAGCTTAAAAATGGAAAAGAACCTCTCCAGAAAACATGCACTTAAAAAACAGGGCAGAAAGGAGCGTTTTGAAGATCTGCAGCTTTGAAAATAAGCCTGCAACTCAACCTGTTCTCCTATTTATTTGTCATGTTTCTGAAGACCAAAATGTCAGAAACAAAGAGCCTTCTCCTAAATTAACAGCTCCTTCCATTGTTTCCAGGGAGAACAGAGCCCACCTATTTCCCTTATTTATAAAAGCCACCTCTCTGCTCAGTGCTGGGGAACAACTCTGCAGTCACGTGCGTGGAGAAACAATGAGGAGTGATGACCCCAGTGGGTGTGAAAGCGAGTTCCAGTYAGAAAAGCTGCCAGCTCCATATTCTGTGAGGAACATGGGAATGTGAGGGACACAGAAAAAGAAAATACAGGAACGCAGATGGCAGTCAAAGCAAACATGAGCACCTACAAAAAGAAACGCAGGAATGAGAGAGAGATGAGGATTTGTGAAAGATAAACCATCAGAGAGCTGCAGGGAAAAGGGAAGTGTGGGAAAAGGCTGGGTGAAGAAAGGGAGGGAAAATATAGGGTAAGAGTAGAACTAAAACACAGTTCATCCCTCACAGGTATCAGAGGTTCCACTTTTAAGGAATCAYGGTGGAGAAGTTCACATTTTTCGGTCAGGAGTGTAAATGATTTTGAACCTGACTGTAGCCACCACTGAGTRGAGATGGAGAATTTTCTGATTCCCATCTAAAACCTCAGAGAAGCCACCAGAAGTGAAACTGCTTTCAAGATTTTGAGGTGTTTTTGTTGCACTAAGAAGAATTTTTCAGTGTTTGCCAGAAAACCTGCTTTTATCAACAACATTCACCCCTCTGCCATTCATCWTCCCAGCCTTTTGGCTTACCCTATCCACCCAAAAACCAACTTTGTGGGCAAAACATTCCCAGGTTTAGGAGGGGAATGTCTTCTGTGGCTCAGTCCCATTATCTGGCTTATTCCTCTGACCCATAAAARTGGGGTCAGAGCAATGTGGTAGGCCAAAAACCCAACCCAAAATGTAAATTATTCACAGAAWGACACTGCCAGGAGAGCATCCTGAGCTGGAGTGGGGATAGAAGGAAACAGCAGACAGATGTTTGTGGGAGGGCCGTGGAAAGGATGGGAAGCTAAATAGAATTAGGCTGCTGTATGTGGTCTGCTGTCAACACACCTGGGGTAAGGGCTTGTYTTTAGAGAGCTGAGGGGGTGGGAGAACACAGATTGCAGGGATGAGGCTCAACATTTTTCCTTTAGTTTACCTTGGTTCCCTCTTAGGGATCATAAGCAAAACATTATTTTTTATTTTATTATTTAAGCAGTAATCAAACCCAGAAACATCCATTATTCATKTTTAACAAAACAATTTAACCGAAACTGAGGTAATATGAACACAAGTGCCCAAATCCCTGTTTTCATAACCTACAGCATGTGACCTCTGTGGTAGACTTAAAGCAAGCAATAAATCCCAAATTTTAACGTTCATATACTTGTTGGCAATGCATCTTAAGACTTAAAAAATTTAGTGTTTTCTTTCTGGAAGAGCACTGAGTTAGAAAAGGGATATCTTTTAACACAGCTCTAAAATACTTGTGCTACACATGCAAATGTTTGTCTTGGGCCTCTACAAATTTCATCCCTATACAGTTAAATTTAATAAGCTTTCAAATTCAGAAGTAGATTTTTTAAAATATTGACAATCACAGTGTTTACAAATATATCTATAATCAGTTTTTTATATTTATTTACTACCATATGTACATAAAATATCTGTAACTGTTCTAATACCCTCCATGCTAAAGAAGCTACAAGTGCTACGATCTCTGCTCAGAATCTCTAGGACCATCCACTGTCCTGCTATCACCTTTCTATTCAATTCCATTTCTGCCAAAAGCTTTCTTTTGAAGTCTGGCAGGAGCTTCTAACTCCCAGTTAAATTCTATTTATTAGACTAATAAAAAACACACACATAAAACAGTCAYATAATTTAGAGTCTTTCTGTCAGGCAGTTTCAGGCTCTGGCACAGCTCAAAACAATTAGAAGACCAGAAATCAGATTCTACCTTATTTTTGAAGTGCACTTCAATGGGCATAATGAAGCCAGCGTAGCCAGACTCCTCCACCTTGTAGGGGGGCTCCTTGCACACTGAAAGAGAACAAATAAATGTGAACTTGGAATTCAGCACGACTTTATCTGAGCCAAAAAGGAGCTGCAAGAGGAAAACTGGGCCTCTGAGAACTCAGGGCACAGTTAAAACACTGACCTTTGTGGAAAAAAMCACACAGAATAAGATGGTGGCCACAGGCTTAGTTAAGAACATGAAATCTGTTCTTAGCTCCTCCCATGGAACGGAAACATAAAACACTCCAGGCCCGAGTCTCAGTGAGATTCTTCCCCTCCTGTGCAGTGAGATACAATTACATTTCTGGGCAGTCCCACAACAATGCAAACTGCCAGTTCCAAGTGCGTGGCAAGGAAAGGCCGAGACCCAGAAGGTGGAACAGCACAGAAAGGTACAATTTACTTTGATGCCTACATTTATTAATCAAAACACTTCTACACAAGAATAGATGATTATTTTTTCCTTGAAATASTCCCCTGCAATCCTCGTAATTGGATAACGGCCATGCTAAGGCTGCTGCTTCCTCCAAAGGTGAACAAACCTGAAGGGCAGGTGARCACTGCTATTTATTCCACACACAAGGAAACACGAGGAGGAAGGTGAACCAGTTTGCTGCTAAGGTCAGAGCTGCTTACTGCAGAAACAGCAATTAGGAAAGTTAATTGCTTCTTAGAAATTAATCTGCATGTCCCTGCCTCGGTTCCCCCTGTCCCGCTACCTGGTGYAGCTTCATGCTCCTGAATCCTTCCTATTATCCATTCCAGGATATCCAAATTGAAGGATTCCAGGATCATTTCTTTGGCCATGACATAGCAACACACAGCAGCTGCCAGGAGAAACATGAGACCCACACAGATATTCTCCCTCTCWGGAACCGGATGCACTTGCATATAATTTATGCACTACAATATATGTAAATAAAGTCAATTAGGTAATTAGAGGAATTCAGTGCAAATCTTTTGAGTTTCTCTTAAGAATTTCAAGTAATTAATATGATTAGGAAACAGTACATCAAATCTAAAAGCACACAAATTATTTTCCTTTAATGTAGATGTATTATCCCCACCCAGCTCTAAGCACTTCTACCATCATTAAGGTGCTGGAAAGCAGCACTCCAAATTCAACTGTGAAAAAAGGGCATAACTAAAAATAACAAAAACCTCTAGACTTGCTTTAACTTGAATTTTATATACGAACCMTGTCATTTAGAAGGAAAAATCCCAAACCAAAGAGCAGTGCCAATATGGCAGCAGGAATCTTAWGCCTATCTGCCAGGCAGCCTTTGTTCCTCTGCTACTCTATTATGACAAATTCCAAGGACTCCAAGAGCAATCTGCCAGCAGCACAAGCCCACCTTCAGCACCAGGATCTGCTCCAAGGAAGAGGGAACCATCTGAAATGTTTCAAACCAACCTAAGAATAGTTTTTTGCCACAGTATTTATGTACAGACACGCCTTGGTCAAAGGCATGCTGGTATTAGGAGCAAGCTTAAGGATGCATGGAAAACCCAGGGACTGGGAAAAAATACCTCTGTAAAGGCAGATGATACAGCAACTGACTGAGCAGAGGGGATGGTTTTACACTGCCAGAGAGCAGGGTGAGATAGAATACTGGGAAGGAATTCTTCCCTGTGAGGGTGGTGGTTGCCCAGAGAAGCTGTGRCTGCCCCTGGATCCCTGGAAGTGTCCAAGGCCAGGCTGGACAGGGCTTGGAGCACCCTGGGATAGTGGGAGGTGTCCCTACCCATGGGATGATTTTTTAATGTCCCTTCCAACCCAAACCACTCCAAGATTCTACCCCAACACAGTTATTTGTAATAAATTAATTACACCGGATGACAAGAACTGTAACCCACAGATTGCATTTTTATTCTATAAATCAGCTTTCAGCTCAATACTGCACTTGCTTACCATACATCAGTTTTTCCAGATCAGTTTGAAGGCGACATTATAAACACACAGACCAGTCACATCCCTGTAATCTGAGCACCTTTGAGTTCCGTTCCACTGTGAACTCCCACAAATAACCAATGTCAGAGGCTGTCCTGAGACATCCTGAGTGTCCTGCTTCCAAAGCAGTATTTCCAAGAATGCACATTACAACAATTCTCACGGGCAGCTTGTATTTCTTAGAACACTAAYGATGCAGCTTCAGTTATGCAATCCTACAGATATAACTGCACTGACCCCTGAAAAGGGCAATTCCTGCTCCCCCACCTCAACCTTATGAGTTCCTGCTACCCTGTGCCAAGAATAAGGCTCATTTTGCCATGTAAAAATTTAATTTTTTGTCAGAAAATGAAGTCAGAAAATAACACTATATAACRTGTACTCTCCCCAACCACACTGACTGCCCAGGGCTTGCAGAGGGAAGSTACAGCCAGGGGCAAAAAGATCATCACCCCTTGGCAGCATTGATTTCTGCTGGGTTAAAGCTACCTGAACTAGCACCTAAGATTAGAAATTGCAAGAATCCATGACCAGTGCAAAGCTCTCCATAGCCAGTACATATCTTAGCCCAATATTAGAGCWTCTCTCGTGTGCTTCCAGCTTTTGCGGGTGAATTCCAACAAATCAAACCCATCTTTCCCATTCTATAACATGAATTATTTTCTGCTGTCACTTGTGTCTTGAGAACCTGCACATATTAATGCTTAAATAAGAGGAGAAAGCAGTTCACCTCCTGCCCTTTCAGCAGAAGAAAGGTCCCATTCTCCCTGACCTTCCTCAAGCACAGTGGGGAAAGGTTAAAGCCAGAGTGCACGCAATGGRCATTTCACTCCTCTTTAAGGAGCTATTTCACAGCAAAGTGACAGTTCAAGACAAGCTTGACTTGCAGAATGCTCTTTCACAGAAATCAAACATCTCCAACCCTGCTCACCTCGCTTGGGTTTTGGGAAGCTCTCGTGCAGCCGGAAGACGACGCGCTCCACGAAGTGCTGGATGTCRCACTGCTCCGGGCCCCGCACAAACACCATCCAGTCATGGGTGAACCCTTCCGTGGTCGGCTTCTTCCKCAGCTGGGCTCGGTGCCCCAGCTCCAGCTTCACCTGCACCGTGCACTGTGTGGGGACAGAGGCAGGARCATAAGCAAAGAGAACACAAAACCTCGCTGGAAGGCACTGGATCCACCAGGGAACAAAACAGCCCCATGGAGGGAACAGGCTCATACCAAAAAGTGGTGTTATCAACAGCAAAGGTGTCACAAAAATAGCTCCCAGCACCATTTCACGCCTATTTTCTTCCTAATATTAACATTGCAGAGAAAGCATGCTGTAGAAGAGGAATCGGTTTTTCTGCCTCACTTATCAGTTAAATTGTCAGCAAAGTCCTAATTGAGGAATCTTTATTTCTAGAAAGTGTCAGAGACAGAACTTGATGTTCACAGCTTACAGAATTCACAGCACTGACAGAAAACTCATCTTGAAACAGGAAAAATCAGACCATGAATTGGTGGTTTATGATATTCTCTAGAATATATCACTCACCAGAAGAAAATTATGTTTCCTGTATTGTTCTAAATATATTTTATTATCACACTTTMAAAAACCAAGTTAACATATCTGCCTGTACAATGTCCAGCACTAACCTGACCTAATTCTGATTTGCACTCCTGAATTCTGCTCTGATCACTGAGTAACAGAGAAGGTGTATTCCATGTCTGACTCAAAGCACAAAAATCCCATTAAATGTCCTAAAAACCAAATTAAATTAATGGTGAAAATCCACACAGTATTGTAGACTTCACAGCCAGGAGAAAGGAAATGAATTAAACAGATGTAAAAGAGGAAAGGCAAATGAGATTCAGACACAAGATAAATCAAGGAAATCTTAGGGCCACATCTGTAGACAGGGAACAACACTCAAGGTACCTGACTTTTGTGCACATTTGTTACACAAACCAGAGCAGCAGCAGCGATTCCAAACTAAACCTAACAAAATCCAGCTTCAGCACCAGCAGGCTCATACAAAAAAAGGGGCTGGTTTTAGTCCCTACCTCATTCTTCACTTCAGGCTTGAAAATAAGTGTCTTGTTCTTCCTAGCAAGTCCCAATTACCATTGGGAGAGGCAGCATTATTTGTCATTACCTACATTACATGTTGACCTGGAGCCAAACCAAGGGCATGTTAGACAATGAGCAGGGAAAGAGAAAGCTTCCTGAGCTCCAGACAAATGTTTAGAGAAAGTATCATCCTTATTTTCCCACTGACAAACTGCAGCAAGGAGTATAACCACAATTAATGCTCAAAAAATATTTTGCATCTCCAACGTGACATTTTTTTGCAGACCTTTGTGAATACTCGCTGAAAAAGCACAAGTAACTCCATCTCAGCCTTCTTGTCTTTGTAAGGAGCTCTCACTGGAGGTCTGCAGAGCACCAGGCATCAAAGCCTGACCTCCCAAATTGCAGTCCAGTTCCAATTTCAACCATAAGCCTTAACACACTCTTTCAGGCAGTTTAAAYCTTCCCAGCAAAATACCTTCAGCCACCCAATGCATCAATCCTAAGGCTGGGGGACAAACTRATCTAATTAATTCCTTCAGCATTAGTATTACAGCATTTCTTTGGGATACCCTCCTCTGCAAGTTCTCTTGGCAGGCCATTTTTTTCCTGTTCTTAAAGCTTATCTACAGCAGCTCCACCTCGCTCCTGCTCTAAGAAGCAAGGCCCAGGGCCGGCTGTTCTTTCATGTCGCATTAAGGGCTGAGAAGAAAGGCAAGGTGTGCTCCACTCCGAGCACAGCAATCCCTCCAACGCTGCAAAAGCATTATGTGGAGCCAGCCTGCCGAAATCCTAAGCTCACATTGGAGTGTGCCTGCAGGCCTGCTTTATCTGGGATGCTTCCCACAGTGTTCACATCCCCTGAGCCAGGCAGTGCCGCAGCCTCACGTTATCGATTCCATAATTACCCTTTAAATCCTGCTACTGTTGCCAGTTACTACCCCTCTCCTGAGAAGTGCAAATGACTGTCAGGCTACAAAATCTGCCTTTCCCGAGTTGAAACGGCTGAGAAATTGGAGCTGAGAACCAGATGGGGCTGTGTGGAAGAGACCGAAATTAAACATAAAAGAGAACTGTTTAACTGAGAGTGAAAGTTGTACTTGCTGCACTCCTCACACCCCGCTCCAATTAACAATCGCTGTGAATTAAGCTAGAAGTTGAAACACATTTGAAAATAAGATCTCCACACGTAACCAGCATCCAAAGTTGCTCCGCTGAAAATGGAGGGTTTTTTTCCTTTTTTTCCAAGCGTGTCTCTCAACAAAGGGAAATCAGGATCCTATTCAAACAATTTGTAATAATACAAAGGAGCCTGCTTTCAACTTCTCAATAAACATTCTGAAGGCTGCTCTGCTTTTTGTTTGATGTGCTAATTGCCTGAAAGCCATCAGCAGCTCCCATTCCCGCTCCTCCGGGTGATTATCCGGGATAGCGGGGCTCATTCCCGATCCTCTGCCCGGGAGGTACCTGTTACCCGCTCCCCGTACACAAAAGGTTCCCCATTCACATCACCTCAGGTAAACTTCCCACGTCCATCCTGGAACCCCCCGGGCCGGCGATGACTCTCCCGGTGGCATTAACCCTTCCTGGTGGCATTAACCCTTCCCTGCGCGGTTCTGGGGGGGTCGCCCCGCCGGCACCTCCCACCCCGGCAATAATCCCAGACAGGAATTTGCGGGAAATGCTGCTCACACCCCCCGCCGCGGGCAGGGCTGCAGCGGCCGCCCATGGAGGGAAGAGGGCTGAGACCCCCCCCAAAAGGGTGTGGGGAGGTGTCCCCGCTAAATGGGATTAGGAAGGAGGTGTGTTCCCAAAGGGAGGTGGGAAGGAGGTGTGCCCATCAAAGGAGGGGTGTGATGTGTCCCCCCAAATGGGATTGGGGAGATGTGGCCCCCAAAAGGGTGTGGGGCAGAGCTGTGTGCCCCAAATAGGGGGTGTGGAGGAGGTGTGCCCCCCCAATGGGATTGGGGAGATGTGCACACCCAAAAGGTGCGGGAAGAAGGAGGTGTGCCCCCCAAATAGGACTGAGGGGATGCGTCCCCCAAAAAGGGAGCGGGGAGAAGGTGTGCACCCACCCAAAAGCGGGGTGGGGAGGTGGTGTGACTCCCCCAAATTAGACTGAGGGGATGCGCCACTCCTAAAAGGGTATGAGGAGGAGATATTCCCCCTGCATGGGGGTGTGGGGAGGGGGTGTGCCCCCACAAACAGGTGTGAGGAGGACGTGTACCGCCCAAACGGGATTGGAGAGGAGATGTATCCCTGCAACAGGGTGTGGGAAGGAGGAGGTGTGCCCCCCAAGTGGGACTGAGCAGGAGATGTGCCCCCCAAAAAGGACTGGGGAGGAGATGTGTCCCCCAAAAGGGATTGGGAAGGAGGTGTGCCCCCCACAAAGGGATTGGGGAGGAGAGGTCCCCCTTAAAGGGCGTGGGGACGACATGTGCCCCCTAAATGGGAGGATATGGAGGAGGTGTGCCCCCCTAAAGAGGATGCAAAGAGGAGATATGCCCCCCCAAAGAGGGCGATGCCCCCCAACTCCCCCATTCCCGAGGACGCGGGCGCCCCCCCATTCAGAGCCCCCTCCCCGGGGGCCCCTCCCCGACGTGCCCCCCTCTCCAAGGGGGGGGCGGCACCGCCCCACCCCTCCGGCAGCGCGGAGCGGCCGCTCCCCTCACCTGATTGTCCATGGCTGGGCACAGCAGCGCCGCGGGCCCCGCTCACTCGCTCCCGCCGCCGCGGCGGTTTCGCTGCCCGGTCGGCGGGGCGGGGCGGGGAGAGAGAATCTCTTCCCCCGCTCTGTCCACGAGCGAAGCCGCTCTGTCCGTCCCCCCCACCCCCCTCCCCACCGCCTCGGCCGCTGCCTGCTCGGTCGCGGCCCCTCACGGCCCCGCCGCCCGCCTCATTGTGTGTCACTCACAGGCAGCGCCAGCCCCGCGCCCGCCCCGCGGAACCGGAAACCGCCTCAGCGCCACAGCGGCCCCCGCGCGCCGCCAATGCCCGCGCGCCGCACGCCGCGGGACGGAGCCCCGCCCATCTGCCTATGATGGACAGTGGTCTCCACCAATGAGCGGCGGGCGGGCCGCGGGGTGGGCGGGTCTGTGGGCGGGGCCAGCGCTGTGGGTCAGGCGGGGGGCGGGAGCGGGGTCCGGCCGCCCCCCCTCAGCCCCGTGTGGGGCGATGCGGCGGCTCCTCCGCGCCCGCTGCTGTTCCCCGGTTCTGTGCCCCGGTATGTTCCTATTAGTGCACAACCAACACCGGGAGCAGGCGTGTGGGCCTCGTCGTGCGCTSGCGGCCGCGCCATCCCGCCCCTTTCTCCCTCCAATCCCGCCCTCGGTCCACGCTTCTCGCCCGTGTGGTAATTCCCGACACAAATGAGCCGGGAACAAGGGGGAAAGAGGGAAGCCGCAGCTCCCGGGATGACCGGGCAGGGCTCGCCTTGTTCCCCGCAGCCTCGCTCCTTCCTGCGCCTTTTTTCTCTCCGTCTCTCCCTCCCTCATGTTCCCCCGTCTCATATTCCCCCTCGCTGTCCTTCATTTTCCCTCAGTGCTCCCCTTTTTCCCCCTGCCTATCTCTCATTTCTCCTCAGTTTCTCTCATTTTCTCTTGTTCTTCCCGTTTCCCCTCGCGCCTTCATTCTCCCTTGTTCTCCCTTATTTTTTCTTTGCTCTCTCTCGTTTCAGTTGCCCTCACTCTCCCTCATTTTCTTTCAATTTCTTTCCTTTTCCCCTTAGTTTCCTTCATTTCTCCCATCAGTCCTCCCACATTTTYYTCTCAGTTTCCATTTTCCCCTTGGTGTCTCTCCTTTTTCTTTCTKTTTTTCTCCTTTTCCCSTTATTTTCTCTCCTTTTCYCCTCAGTCTCCCTCATTTYCCCCCCTCCATTTTTATTTTCTCTTTAGTCTCCCATGTTTTCTCTCATTTTTCTCCCTCAGTCTCATTTTTTTTCATATTCCCTCCTTTCCCTCTATTTCCCTCCTTTCCCTCCCATCTTTCTCATTTTCCCCTCARTTTGCTTCATTTCCCTGTCATTTTCTTTCCTTTTCCCCGTCAATCTCCCACATTTCTTCCAAGTTTCCATTTCCCCCTTATCTCACACATTTTTCCCCTGAGTCGCCCTCATTTCCCTCCATTTATCTCTGTTTCCCTTTGGTCTTCCTTGTTTTTTCCCCTCAGTCTCCCTATTTTCTTTATGTTTTTCTCCTTTCCCCTTCAGTCTCCCAGATTCTCCTCCTCAGTTTCTCTCATTTTCCCCTCAATCTCTGTTATTTCTCCCCTCAGTCTCACACATTTCCTCTCAGTTTCCATTTTCCCCTTGGTCACCCTCTTTCCCCTCATTTTTTCCCCTTGGTCACCCTCTTTCCCCTCATCTTTTCCCCTCAGCCTCCCTCATTTTGCCCCTCAGTTTCTCTCCTTTTCTCCCTTTACTCTCCCATATTCTTTCTTAGTCTCACACATTTCTCCTCCTTCCCCTCAATTTTCCTCTTAATCGCCGTTATTTCTCCCCTCAGTCTTACACATTTCCTCTCAGTTTCCATTTTCCCCTCAGTCACCCTCATTCCTCTCATTTTTTCCCTCAGCTTCCTTCATTTTGCCCCTCAGTTTCTTTCCTTTTCCCCCCCTCACTCTCCTATATTCCACCTTATTTTCCCCCTCATTCCTTCAATTTTCCCTTCAGTCTCTCCCATTTCTCCCTCAGTTTCTCCTGTTTTTCCCCTCAATCTCCCTCATTTTCCCTCATTCTTCCCCTCAGTCTCCCCCATTTCCTCTCGGTTCCCATTTCCCCTTCACTTCCCTCATTTCTCCCCTTTGTTCCTCATTCCCCTACAGTTCCCTTCCCCTTCCCGCCTTCCTTCCCYTTCTCCCCCTGCTTTCCCCCTCCATCATTCTCCCTCCTGGGGAGAGTTTTACCCTTTTTTTTTTTTTTTTTGAGACTTTTAAGTGACAAGTTATAGCTCTCAATTTTACCAGCCCTAAATGAATGTGGGACTTATCTTTACAAGTGCAATTGGTAACTCTTTCCGGGCAAACTCACTCAGAATTTTTTTTTTCTTCATGCAACTTTCTTGTTTGGAAYAGTTTGTTGATCTCTGTGAGGCAGCAGAAAACCCCCGTGTTAGCCAATAACTCTGTGTGTCGCTGACTGATCGCCACAGGCAAGGATTAATCGGTTCCCAAATCGTTCTAAAGAGCCACTTTACCTCATCAACCTGATAGAGGATATTAGCCAAGCAAAATGCTTAATCGCTTCAGTTAACAACAACAACAACAAAAAAGAGCCTGATTTGGGTTCCTTTAAGTGCTCCGGTTTTCATTTTCCATGTTTCTGTCTGATGCAGTCCCAAGAGACATCTCCTTGGACGGTCCCTTTTCTTCTCCRTTGAGACAGGGCCTCTTTCTCTGGGAGTTCTCATTGATATCTTTAATTGTGAACATTATTCCCATGCACGTGACTCTCGGGTCTAAATCTTTTATTTTCTACCTCCCCATCTCGGCTATTCACTCACAGCCTCATCACAGCCCTTGGTGGTTACGTGCTCCCCAGGCTGAATATTTCCTGGGAATGTCTTCATCTTTCCCAAATTTGCTGTTGCAGTGCTGAATTTCCACCTTGTGCAAGAGCTCTTGTTCAGACACACCAGAGCCTGAGCTTTTTCCTGAAAAATTCCCCGTTACTTCCTCTGAAACATCATTAGAATTTGCTTTTTAGTTTAATTTCCATCAATGGCAATTTTTTTTCCATGCCTTTATTTTTGCCCAGCCTGGTGTTAATGGTTGTTTTTGTGCTCTCCTGCTTCAGCACAGCCGTCTTTACTTCTGTATTGCATACTGGTCACTCCTCCAACTTTCAGCGGCAGGATCTGAGCAAAAACTTGGACACTTCCAAGATGGGAAACCCAGAGCCAAGTGCCTCAGCTTCCACACGTACGCTGGCAGCCCGATAAATGGACATTAAACCACATTTTACTGAAGTATTATGGTGTCCCATTTGGGGTAAGCACCACCTTGTGCTCCAAGCATTCTCTGCTGGGACAAGTATTTTGGAGCTGGACTTTGCTTATCCTCGTGGATCCCTTCCAGCTCAGGATATTTGATGAAGTGGCGTGAATGGATTAATTTAAAATGTGCTGGGGTGGCTCTTTACATTCAACTGCGAAAACACTCAAGGAGAGAAATTCCTAGAACCAGCCTTTGCTCCGCTAGCAGTTCCCAGCCTGAACCGTTTCCAGCGCAACCACTGATCAAACCTACCCCCGATWTTCTTTTCAAGCTCCCCTCAAAAAGAAAAAAATCCCAGCCAAGGGTAGAAAATTTGCCAGGCTCTTTGGGAGGGTGTTGGGGTGCTGGGGATGCCGGAGCCAGCAGCCATCCAGGCTTCTCCAAACTCCTCATTTTGCAGGGAGATCTCGAGCTAACGAGCTGTCAGCCGAGTGCCTTCGCACCCGAGGCAGCCGTGGGCTGAGCTCCTGGTTCTTTATACCTATTCCAGCAACTTCTGGGCTTTGCAATAAGCGTCTGCAAATCCAATTAGCGTCTTTCTTTGTGGCACTGGATGCTGGCAGAGATCCGCTGTGCTGCTGCCATCTACAGTAGGGCCAGTGCCAATGGATAAGAAACAGCTCTGATTTGCATATTCAAATATGCAAATGAGACACGACAGCTCTCCTTCATTTTTTGTTTGGGTTTTTTTTATTTTTTTTTTAAATTTTATTTTTCTTTCCAGAGTCTTGCCTCAAAGATCCTTGTCTTGGACTGAAAGGTGTGTGTTTAATCTGGCTTGGCYTGTGGTAGGGGACCATGCCAAGGGCTGGTTCTGTCCCGTGAGAGTTGGGGATGATGGAAAATAAAGTGGAAAAAAGACTTTGCACTGCGCTTATCCCTGTCTTGGCCAGGGATGGGAAARATTTCGGGGGTGTTTTCCCAGGTCCAAGCCCTGGGAAAGGACAACACGTTCTTTCTCTCCCCTGCCTGTGCACACCATGGATGCTTTAGGGGGTGAACGTGGCTGTTCCTGGGGATATGAGTGAAAGAGGCAACAACTGAAGTGCTGAGAGCAGATGAATCCCAGTGCTCCAGTGGGGAAAGTCCTGACAGAACAGCCCACACTCAGGTGTCCCTGGTCACCTGGGGCAGGACTGGCTCTTGGGATGCTCTGGGGTGCAGTAACTGCAGGCAAAACTGCTCCTCAAGGCACCTCGTCCCTCCCTCTGCTCCCTTCCTCTGCAGGAGCACAGCACTGATGCCCCCCAAACACACACACAACCCCCATGCTCCCAACAGCCTCTCCAGACCATCCTCATGCAGCCCAACATGCCTGAATTACTCATTTTTTTCAGCAAAAGTTCTTTCCTGTAGGTTCGGCATCCCTCACTGCAAGGTGGGCTGTACATCGACTGTACATCGACTGCAAGTCCCTGTCGTGGTTTTATATGTCTGTGCTTGTGGCTTGCCCTTCCTGTCCCTGGAGAAACAAGTTTGTTTCACTGTTTTTCATCATTCATTATTATTTTCTCATTACTAATTTAGTTGCAGCCTTCCCTGACTCCACTCTTGTGCTGAAGACCAGGACTTCTGTGGTCAGTCTGGGCTCTGAGTGGCTTGGACAGCAGCCAGGGAACAAGCAAGGCTGATTCCAGCACGGAAAGAATCAGGCAGTGTAGAAAAATGATCATCTTGTAATAGCTCTGAGGATTTAAAGATTAAGACACAAACCTCACATTGAAGCAGGGTTTCTCTGAGAAAATTCTCTCTTCCACTCTGTGTCCATGAGCAACGTGCCTGAGTGGAAAGATCCCTGAGTTCCCCTGGATGTCAGTGATTTCACTGCCTTCTCTTACAGCTGCAAAAGGATCACAGGGGTCTAC